CCCTAAACCCTAAACCCTAAACCCTAAACCCTAAACCCTAAACCCTAAACCCTAAACCCTAAACCCTAAACCCTAAACCCTAAACCCTAAACCCTAAACCCTAAACCCTAAACCCTAAACCCTAAACCCTAAACCCTAAACCCTAAACCCTAAACCCTAAACCCTAAACCCTAAACCCTAAACCCTAAACCCTAAACCCTAAACCCTAAACCCTAAACCCTAAACCCTAAACCCTAAACCCTAAACCCTAAACCCTAAACCCTAAACCCTAAACCCTAAACCCTAAACCCTAAACCCTAAACCCTAAACCCTAAACCCTAAACCCTAAACCCTAAACCCTAAACCCTAAACCCTAAACCCTAAACCCTAAACCCTAAACCCTAAACCCTAAACCCTAAACCCTAAACCCTAAACCCTAAACCCTAAACCCTAAACCCTAAACCCTAAACCCTAAACCCTCTAATAACCCTAAACCCTAAACCCTAAACCCTAAACCCTAAACCCTAAACCCTAAACCCTAAACCCTCTAATAACCCTAAACCCTAAACCCTAAACCCTAAACCCTAAACCCTAAACCCTAAACCCTAAACCCTAAACCCTAAACCCTAAACCCTAAACCCTAAACCCTAAACCCTAAACCCTAAACCCTAAACCCTAAAACCCTAAACCCTAAACCCTAAACCCTAAACCCTAAACCCTAAACCCTAAACCCTAAACCCTAAACCCTAAACCCTAAACCCTAAACCCTAAACCCTAAACCCTAAAACCCTAAAACCCTAAACCCTAAACCCTAAACCCTAAACCCTAAACCCTAAACCCTAAACCCTAAACCCTAAAACCCTAAACCCTAAACCCTAAACCCTAAACCCTAAACCCTAAACCCTAAACCCTAAACCCTAAACCCTAAACCCTAAACCCTAAACCCTAAACCCTAAACCCTCAATAACCCTAAACCCTAAACCCTAAACCCTCTAATAACCCTAAACCCTAAACCCTAAACCCTAAACCCTAAACCCTAAACCCTAAACCCTAAACCCTAAACCCTAAACCCTAAACCCTAAACCCTAAACCCTCTAATAACCCTAAACCCTAAACCCTAAACCCTCTAATAACCCTAAACCCTAAACCCTAAACCCTAAACCCTCTAATAACCCTAAACCCTAAACCCTCTAATAACCCTAAACCCTAAACCCTAAACCCTAAACCCTCTAATAACCCTAAACCCTAAACCCTAAACCCTAAACCCTAAACCCTCTAATAACCCTAAACCCTAAACCCTAAACCCTAAACCCTAAACCCTCTAATAACCCTAAACCCTAAACCCTAAACCCTAAACCCTAAACCCTAAACCCTCTAATAACCCTAAACCCTAAACCCTAAACCCTAAACCCTAAACCCTCTAATAACCCTAAACCCTAAACCCTAAACCCTAAACCCTAAACCCTAAACCCTAAACCCTAAACCCTAAACCCTAAACCCTCTAATAACCCTAAACCCTAAACCCTAAACCCTAAACCCTAAACCCTAAACCCTAAACCCTAAACCCTAAACCCTAAACCCTAAACCCCAAACCCCTAAACCCCAAAACCCCAAACCCCAAACCCCAAACCCCTAAACCCTAACTTTTCAACCCTTAACCCTAACACCTCAACCCTAAACCCTTAAACCCTAAACCCCAAAACCCTCAAACTCATAAACACTTTTTTAGTTTTTTTATTTTTAACTCTTTTGTCTCAATTGTTTTTCTTTTTCCTTTTTTTAGGATTTTTTTCTTTAGTTTTTTACTTTGTCTTATTTTTCCTTTTTTTAATCTCTTGTTTTTCTTTCTCATTTTTTACTTGAAATTTTTTTATTTGGTTTTTTGTTATTTATTTTTATTTTTTCACTTTATTTCGCTTTCTTTTTCTTTTGTTTTTGCAATTGTTTTTCTTTTTTTTTTGTTTTTTTTTTTATGTTTTTTGCGTTTGTTTCTTTTTCTAATTTTCTATTTCTTAAACTTTCTTATGTTTTAATGTTTTTGATTTCTTTTATTTTTACGCTTTTAGATTTTCTTATTTTTAGCATTTTTGATTTTTTTATTTTTGGTAATTTTTTCTAGCTTTTTTATTTTTCCTTTTATTTTTTTTTTTGGTTTTTTAGTTTCTTTTTCTTTTGTTATTCGCTTTTTTTATTTTTCTTTTTTTGAATTTTTTTTCTTGTTTGATTGATTTTTTAATTTTTTTGTTTTGTTTTTGTATTTTCTTTTCTTATTTTATTTTTCTTCATTTTTCATTTTTTGCTTTTTTTTGTTTTTGGCTTTATTTCTTTTTTACTTTTTTTGTCTTTCTTTATTTTTCTTCTTTTTTTTTTCCTTTTTTGTTCTTTAGTTTTTTCATTTGTTTTAATTCGTTTCTTTTTTTCTTTAGGTTTTTCTTGATTTTTCTTTCCTTGTTTATTGGTTTTTTTATTTTTTTTCCTTTTTATTTTTTTGTGTTTATCTTTTCTTAAGCTTTTTTTCTTGTTTGTTTATTTCTATTTTTCTTTTTCTTATTTTTTTTGTTTTAATTCTTTGTTTTTTATTTTTTATTTTTTTGTATTTTTTAGCATTTTATTATTTCATTTGTTTTTATTTTTGTTTTTTACTGTTTATTTTTTTATTTTTTATTTTGATTATTTGTTTTTTCATTTTTTTTTCTTATGTTTTTTTTGTTTTTATTTTTTTTTTTTGATATTTTTTGCTTTTTTTCTTTTTTTATTTTTTGCATCTTTCTTTCTTTTTTTTAGGTATTGTTTTATTTTCTTTTCTTTTTTTTCATGTTTTAAATTTTTTATTTTTTTGTTTTTTTATTTTTTTAATTTTTTTTGGTTTTTCTTATTTTTTTTCTTTACTTTTTATTTTTTTTCGTTTTTGTTCTTTTTTTTATTTTTTATTATCGTTTCTTGAGTTTTTTTTGCTTTTTTGGTTGATTTTTTAAATTTGTTTGTTTTTTCATTTTTTTATTTTTTATTTTCCATTTTTTTATTTTTAATATTTACTTTGTTGTTTTATTTTTTTTATTTTTTTATTTTTTCTTTATTTTTTTTTTTTGATTTTATTTTTTTCTTTTGATTTTGTTTACTTGTTCTTTATTTTTTATTTTCTTTCTTTATTGTTTCTTTTTTAATTTTTATTTTGCATTTTTCTTTCGTTTTCTTATTGTTTTATTTTCTTTTTTTAATTTTTATTAATTTGCGTTTGCCTTTGTGTGTTGCTTTTTATTTTCCTCTTTTACTTTTTATTTTTTGATTTTTTATCTTCTAATGTTTTTCTTTTTGTTCTTTACCTTTTCTTTGGTTTTTCGGTTTGGTTGTCTCTTTATTTTATATTTGTCAATTTTTTTCTTTCATTTTTCTTGTTTTTTCTCATTTTTCAATTAATTTTCTTTCCAAATTTCGTTTGGTTTTCTGGGTTTTTTTGTAGTTTTTTTATTTTTTCGTTTTTTATTTTTTTTTACCTCTAATTTTTTCTCTGTTTTATAATTTTTCTTTTGGTTCTTGATTTGGTTGTTCTTTATTTTAATTTTTATTTTTATTTTCATATTTTCTTTTTTTTTCATGATTTTATATTTTTAAATCTTTGCTTCTTATTTTTTTTCTTTTCTTGTTTCTTTCATAGTTTGTTTTGCTTTCTTGTTTTTTTATTTTTTTCCATTTTTTTTTCGTTCATTTATTTTTTTATTTTTTATTTTCAATTTTTTGTTTTTTTCTTTGTTTTTGAACTTTTTATTGTTTTCGTTTTTTCTAGTTTTTTTTATTACCTCCAATTTTTTCTTTTTTGATTTTTACTTTTTCTTTGGTTTTTCTATTTGCATGTTCTTTTTTTTATCTACTCAATTTATTGTTTTATTTCATAATTTTGTATTTTTAAATTTTGATTTCATTTTTTTGTTCTGTTTTTCTTTCGTTTTTCGGTTTTTTTTCATTTTTAGATTTTTTTCTATCGTTCCTTTTTTTTTTCTTCTTTTCACCCAGGCGCAAAACGTTAACACTAAACCTAAACTCCAACCCCAAACCTCAAATTCAATACCGAAATCCTAATTCCTAAAACCCCTAAACCCTAAACAAAAGTATTAATTCATTCTATCAATACATACAAATAAAGTTATGCAAATTAATATTTGATTGCAAATCCCATTGCATGCGGCGTGCAAGGAGAGATTCCATGCTCAATTCTTCAAGGGATGTGAGGTGTTGAAGCCCTTTGTAGTTGAGAGATTTACAAGGAACACTCATTTGCTCCACTCCCTTTCATAAGGAATATCTATTAGCGTCAGAGAAACGATACCCATGCACTTGTGCGACTCATGAAACAATAATTGTCAAAGAAAATACAAAATAAGAAGTGAGATTGGGAGCCCCTGCATTTGAAAACACAAGTTTTGGACATTTTTACCTCCGATGTAAAGAAGTAGCTGTCGGGTTTTTTTTCCTTACAAAAGCTTGCTTTCTTCTCCTTAATTCCTGTAGATTGTTAGAATGGATAAAACCGATTAGCATAAAAATAAACCCAAAAAATAACACTTCTTTATGCAATCATTACAAAATCAATTCCATAACTTCAGCAAATCACCATTCGGGATATCAAGCCCACAAAATGCGACGTCTGCGGCAACATGCACAATGCACTTTTCCTGTCCAAAATCATTCACAGCTCTCTCCCTGTCATGCTGTGACATACCTCCATGTAATGTCTCGGAAGCTATACTGTGTATTAATGCCGTAGAGACTTCATCAACTTTGCTTCTTGCACAGATTCTGTGACAATAATCTAAAACATAGCACATTAACAGAGTCTATTTAAAAAGTCCTTACATGATTTGAACGACACCTCGTACCACATCTACCTTGCTTGTCTTCCTCGTCAAGGGAATGATTGGAGACGCATAACGTATGTCGTCACCCAGATTTCGACACATTTTTTTGCTTTGGTTAAAACGTAAGTACACTCAAAATCCTATAAAACCTCCATAAAAGTAAGATGCATGACGCGGTTTATGAGAGCTAAGAGGGAGAGAAAGAAGCATGAAGTGAGAGCGAAGGAGGAACCTAGAGGTAGATAAGGAGCTATAGTTGGTAAAGAGATCAGAGTTATTGAAGATCAAAGAGAGCTCTGCAATCAAAATTGAAAACAACAAGTACCAAAAAATGCAAAATTGCTACCAAGTTGGTCATAGACCAGATTGAATAAGGAGTTAAGTAGGCCATGTATGAATAAGAGATAGGAAGTATTTATTTAATGTTAAAAGAGAGGAGAGAAATGGATGTTAATTTGAATTTGGAATTCTGGAGGAGCAGGTCTCGTGGGCGGGATATTTGGGCAGCATGGTTGGGAGTTAGGCGGGACATTTGGGCGGGATAGTGATGTGACGGCATGAAGTGAAGGCATGCAGTTGTCTAGCTCGGCGATGGCAATGTAGCACTGTCAATACTGTCCTGTATGAGATCAGGCACGCAAGGTATCTACATGAATTTGAAAAATCATTTACTTCATTTGCACACTTGTAGGCACTTCCATGCTTAATGGACCCACCCATGCTGAAAAAGTTATAGCCCAGCCATTGTAGATGATGACTAGATGACCGCCTCTGAACCCACTGTCGCCTGCGGGATGGGTGGTGATGTGGTGCTTATCCATCTGACACTCTCTTATTGTGGAGGAGGACTAGCTTAGTTTAAGTTCATAAAATACTAAGGGTGTCTTTTCAAGACACTTAACAGATAGCTAAATATTATATAATATAGACAAATTGAACTTCAAAATTTTCATCTCAGCACTTTCCCGAGGTAATAATCATAATATTTTATTAGTATAAATAAATTTCAATCTATCAATTACATTGTTATAATATTTCAAAAAACTTAATAATATTTTCTTTTATTAATAAAAAAGTAAAATGATTCATTAATTCAAAATTCAACAAACAAAATTATATAGCTTATTAGATTTATAAGGAAACGTGATTCAATTATTTTTCATATAACTATATATAGTTATAAATTTTATTACATCTATCGTATTTTTTAATTATTATAATATTTAAATACTCATAATAATTATAAATAAATTATGACTTAACAATTTCTCTCAATCTACTTAATCCTGAACATTTTATTATGCAATATTTTTTCCACTCCCTTATTTCCATTGCTTCACTTTGCAAAGTCAAACCATGAGCATATGTAACCATAGTGTCAAGCCGATTGTGTCATGTACAATCAAGTCACAACCAATGACGTTTCCTACACATGGAAGTATCAAATGTTCACATCAAACGCTTCATTGGTTTTGAAAATATTTGCTGTTTCTTCGTCGGGCTATATATTTATATGGGTTCTAGACTTCTAGCTGGGTTATCAAGTTAGAAGCTGGGCTCGAATCAATGACTTCAATGGGTGGCGGTCATGCCAGCCAAGTTCCACCATCGTTGGAAAAATATAAATTTTTCTTTTACAAGTTATGCAAATTAATCACTCACATTCATCCTTATGAAAGAATAAAATAAAATAAAAAATCAATGAAGCAAGACTTTTAACCAAATAATCAAAGAAGTTAGAATTCCCTTAACAATCATTGTAACCCGTGTATAAAGGTACTGTAGGTGGAATAGTTGACCAATAATTTTATATTAATTTTTTAAGGATGAATTAATCCCATTATTTTTTATAAACGAATTGGGTACTCCTATTTGTTTTAAAAACAAATTATTTAGCCTTTATATTTTAAAATTTTCTTGTAATTTTATTTTTTTCACTCTTTCTTATTTTTATTAGATTTTTTGTTTTAAGAAAATAGAATAAATAAAATTATGTAAACAAGAAAAAAAAAGAAGATAAATTATTATTTTAAGATGATTGATATAAACAAAAATTGAAAATGAATTAAATATAGATGATAATTAAAAAAAATTAAAGGACATTATTTTTTACCATTAATAGAATGTTCATCTTTCTCATATTCGTGTGGACTCACTTTTTTTTTTTTGCGTTATAAATGCCATCCTCTTTTGCTTTTAATTCTTTTTCATTGTCACTAAACGAATCCGTTAAAATCCACACTATTAACAGAATGTTCATCTTTTACTCTCCTTTTAATTTTCTTTTCCAACCCTCATTCATCGTTATCCTTTCTCTTTCGACAGAATATTTAATGCTCCCTTTTTTGCTGTTAAATTATAAATTAATCACTCTTACTTTGAGAAATGAATTAAACAATTTTTTTTTAATAACTAATATTTTTTACCTTTTTGATATTTTAAATTTATTTTGACTTCTTTTTTTAAGAAATAGAAAAGGAATAGAAATATGAAAAAAAAAAAAACTTATTGCAAAAGAAGACATTCTAGAGAGAAAAATAATTGGTCGAGATCAATAAGGATTAAAAATATTAAATAATTATTTTTTAAAACTAAAATGATTAATTAATTCATCTTTCAAACAAAAGAGACTATTTTATTATTTATTTTGCAATAAAATTACCTTCTTCGTTATTGTTTGCATGTGATATATATATATATATATATATATATATATATATATATATATATATATATATTTGATCAGTATTTTTAAATAAATATTCATATCCACTTCTTTTTCAACATTCATACATATTAGTATTTTCATATGTTTTGTATCCCTGACAAGTTTTTTTTTTGTTTTTTTACTTTTTTCTTTTTCGATAGGGATTATCCTTAACTAGAACTTAGTAAGATAACTTCAATAAACCTTAGGTATGCATGTCTCCTGGCCACTTCTTTTTCAACATTCATACATATCAGTATTTTTATATGCTTTATCCCTGTCAAGTTTTCCTTTTTTTTTTAATTTTATTTTGGATAGGGATTATCCTTGACTAGAACTGAGTAACATAACTTCAGTAATTCTTAAGCATGCACGTCTCATGATGCAATTGTGAGTATATACTTATTACTTGTAGATACTAGTGTGTGTGTGTCTATATATATACATATTTGCACGTGTGTGTATTGTAAGTAAAACAATACTCATGAAACATAATGACGGCTAAAATACATAGTTTTTATGTTAGGGTTTCAACTTTATAACCAATACCCATTATACATGTGCTGGTTCTTTTTTTTAAAAAAAAAAAAAGTGCAATTTGCAATATAAGTCTTATATTGAGTAAATTATAAATTACTCTTTTTGGTTTTGTAAATAAATTAATTATTTTTTATTTAAAAAATAATTATTTGGTTTTTTTATCTATTTTACTCAATATATTATAAAATATATAATCTTATGCTTTTTCTTTGGTTTTGCTTTCAAAAAAAAAAAAATTCATAAAAACAGATATTATTAACGGAATGATAATAAAAAAAATTATTTCAAAAAATATATTAATATTAAATTAAACATAATTTAAATAATTGATTTTTTTAAAAAAAATAATTAATTCATTTATCAAAACTAAAAGTACTACTTTAAAATTTACTCTCATATAAATTGACATCATCTTGTCTGTTACTTCTCAATTCATGATTAGACCACTTATACAGATTATATATTTTATATTAGTTTGGATTATTCAAAAAAAATATTTTTTTTATATTTTGATCGTAAGATTTTAACCCATAAAATTCAAAAAGAAAATATATCTTTTTAACTACCACACCAATTTAAAATTTAGAGAATGGACCCTAATATTTAAAAAATAAATAATAGAACATGTTAATATATATAGTTACATCATAATTAATTTTTGTGGAAAAAAGGAGGGATAAGGACATAAATGGTTTTACACACTCAACGTGTGTTGTACATTATTTTGTGATCATCTGAATTACAAAAATTGTGAATCAAATAATTAAAACTTAAAGATAATCAATAAGATAATTTATCTTCATTTTAAAGTCTAAGTTAAACGGCTAAAATTGCTAATTTTGAGGGCGGAAGCGTCTCTTCAGGTAAGGATTCCACATCCTCACCCCCTAAATACTGAATTTTGAAAGTGATTGTAATTTGGAGGGGTGATAATACTCAATTTCTAGACGAAAAGATTTACTCAAACCGTCAAGGAAGGAGGGAATGCATGCTTCCAGCCAATGACTGCAAGCTTGAGCAATGATTCCTACGCCGCCTAAATCTCATGTGAACAGACTTTTTTCCTACGAAACATACTTTTTTCTTGATTTGTGTGTCGTGATTTGTTAGTTTGCTGCAATAATAAAAAGGATCCTCCACTAGAACTAAGTAAAATAACTTCATTAATACTTACATATGCGTGTCTTATGGCCATTTCTTTTTCAACATTTATCCATATCGGTATTTTCATACGTTTTACATTGGTTTAGTTTACTCAGAAAAAAAATAATATTTTTTATAATTTCATCTAAGATTTAAACCAATAAAATTAAAAATATATATATATCTCTTTTTAACTAAGACACCAATTTAAAAAACTAAAATGGTTTAACTTGTTTAACTTTTACAAAGGAAAAGGTTTAACTTGTTATTTTTGCAATTTGCTTATTCTATTTTTTGGATTTTAATCATTTTTATTTGATTTATTTCTGAATTTATTTGTGTGCAGTATAAGAGGATGCAAAGAGTTTGCATCATTCTATCATTATCCAAAATTTTCTTAAAGTTGTGCATTATTTTGTGACCACCTGAATTAAAAAAATTTGAATCAAACAATTTATTTTAAACTTAAAAACAGCCAATAGGATAATTTATCATTATTTTTAAGTCTAAGATAAACGGCTAAAATTGCTAATTTTGAGAACGGAAGCATGTCTTCAGGTAACATTCCACATCCTCACGCCCCTAAAAGCTGAATTTTGAAAGCGATAGTAATTTGAAGGCAAACCCCCTTGTGATAAGACTCAATTTCTGGACAAAAAGATAAGACCCCAAGGAAGGTGGTAATGCATGCTTTCAGGCAATGACTGCAAGCTTGGGCAATCATGCATCCGTATGAAAGTTAAATTTGAAGCCGCCCAATCCTCGAGGAGAAAAATAAATAATAGGATTGTTAAAGATTTAAGAGAAACGAAATCCTTAAGATGGCTTCAGAAGAAGAGATTTTAAATTATGGTACAAATTCAAGAGGAAATGATGCCCTTGTTGAAAATGAAGGAAATGGGATGTTAAAGAACTTCATCTACTTATCATTTGTTGGTCTGATGGATTAATAAAAAGGCACTTTGTTAGTTTGTGAGCAAATAAACCCTTTGTGGACTGTTAGCATGGATTCCATTGACCTAACTGTTGTGCATCATTTTGAGTCCACCTGAGTTTTTTTTTTAAAAAAAAAACAATATCTAAACAAAAAATTTATATAAAAGTTAAAGACTCGTCAATGGGGTAATTTCTTTTTTTATTATTAACTCTAAGTTAGACTGCTTAAATTGCT